AGTGGTTAAGAGCACTGATTGCTCTTGCAGAGGACCAGGGTTCATTCCCAGCATCCACGTGGCGGATGGGAATCTGACAACCTCTTCTGACCTCCACACAGGTGCACTCACACACATGCAGGAGGCAATACACTTGTATATATAAAATAAAAATAATGCTTTTAAAAAAAAGATCAATCCAATCTGAAATAATTGTGTAAAAACCATAAACTCTATATTCTTTAAAGGGGTTGTTGACACAAAGCATAACTCTCACCTAAAAGGGCTTAAGAGATAGTTTATTCTGGAGCCAAATATGAGTGACCACAGCCCAGGAACACAGATTCAGGTTACCCCAGATTCCATGTTCCAGTGTGATAACAGTTACATTACGTTTTTATAATAACCACACAAAGAAAAGTCATAAATCAAGACACTATTGAAATTTATTGGTGGATACATTCGGTAGGCAGGTCATAGCAAAGGGATGGGGTACTGCTAGAGGTATCAGAATCTAACTGATGACATTCTCAGCTTTTTTGATTGGTGAGATCTGGTGCTCTGCTAAGTTAAAACATTTTATTAGTCACAAAAATGTTAATTCAGAAACAAAGGTAGGCAAGGTGTGGCTATTTATGGGGATAAAGATATTACCAGATAATTTGTGAATAGGCTCCTGATCTGCACACATTCCAGATTCTTCCACAATTGCTGGAGTGCTAATCAGTTGGTAAGCCTCACAGGAAGTTCAGTCCAAGGTACAGGAGTTATTTCTGGGAACTTTCTTTCACAGGGATACAACAAAATTCCACCTGTAGTAATGTAAAATCAATAATTGAAAAAAAATCCTGAAGTCTATGTGTACCTTAGGACAAAACTGCAGCATCACTGTCAACATCATTAAATGTCCTCTCCAAAAGTGAGAAAACCAGAAGAGGTAAGCACAGCATGAGTAATGCTTGAGCCTTCACTGCATGGAAGAGAGAATCTAAGGTGTGCAGTTAGTGAAGACCACTGACTGCAGCAGGAACCCCCCTTGCTCCTGAACTGACTTCTTCAGGCTGTGTGGAGAGGGAAAGCATACCGAGAAAGAATGTGCAGGACATATGTGGAAAGGTGGAAGTCAGCAAAGGGGCTGATGGGCAATTTGACATCAAGTCCAGCAATATTAACTCTCCCAGGTGTCTAAAGTTACTAGAAATGTTTTCGAGACAATGGCAGCATGTACCAGAGGAAGAAGATGCACAATACTTATATTTTAAAAGTCAGTGCTACCTAAAGACACAGGAAAAGACTTAAGAAAGGAACAATTTACAGCAAGTTCTGGGTAAACAGTCTTTGAAATGCATCCAGTGGAATGGGTGTGAAGAGGGGGAAATGTCTGGCAAGTACCTGGAGAAGATCAAAAGCAAGGCAAAGGGAACCATAAAGTAAAAGGATACAGGGCTGGGGAGACAGTGCAGTTAGGAACATCAGCTGCTCTTGCAGAGGATTGAAGTTGGGTTCCCGGCATCCTCTTGATTCTTTTTCAGTGTCATTTGTTGTGCAATATGTCTTTATATTTATAGAATATGTTTTTTATTCCCCTGGTATTTCAAATCATATTTACAAAGCATAGCTCTAACAAAGAGTAGTCCACACATGTATTCTCATAGCACTTTTTTGCTTGTGTGCGTACTTTTTAACTTTCACTCTCCATCAATTTGCATGATATTAGTGTCTGTGATATGATGTATGCCACTAACTGCATCTTATTCTGTAACCTTCTTCCCATTTCCTGACAGAGCCATTAGAGAGTGTGAACTGTGTATGGCAGTGGGGGACTCCATGCTAAATGTGACATTGGGGAACCGAGAACATAACAGAGGCAAGACGGGCACCATCTCCTGCCCGTGTCCCTCTTACTTGAACAAGACTTTCATATCTTTTCCATGTATTTGGATTAGGTCATGTCCTTTTGTCCTCCAATCAAACCTGTGCAAGGCTGTCCCTCAGGGCATGCAGATTTTTTTGAGGTTCCTTGAGTCTTCATGTCTGAAGGCTCCTGTGTCACACAGAACTGTAGGGATTCGGGTTTGCTTTACTTAGCAGGGAACCTACTGGCTTTGGGGCAGAGAGACTTGATCAGTGACAAAGTCTTGGACCCTGGGACTTGGGTTTTCAACAAGCTGCTTATTTCAAAGTTCACATGGTTTTTATACATCCCAAGGAACTAGCAGTCACATGAGATATGGTAGTCACATGCAAAGATTTAGGGTACAAAAAAACAAGACATGTAGTCTGTTAGTTGGCACCAGAAGGATTCTTAAACTTTTACTCAAGGTTATCAATGCCCATCCAGTAATTTGTTGGCCACAGTGTTTTCTTTCTTAGAGCTAAAAGCATGGTAAACTTTTAGCTTTTAGCTCAGGAGTAAACCTCTGACCTGGCCTAATCTCTTAGCCAGGGATAGCTGAGTTATTTGTTTAGGACAAGGAGATGAGCTAAGGGTTGTTGATCAAGATGCTTTCCCACAGAGCAGGGAGCCTGCACTTTTATGACCAGGCCGCCTCCTCCTGCCAGCCCAACAGTGTTCTGCAAGGCAGGGATTATCAGAGCCACTGTTTTCAGTGCCCCTCCCTTTGGCAGAGAATGCAGCCTGGACCTATAAGTTTTAGGCTCACCTCACCCTAGGGCCTGGCATCCTGGTTTCCTACATATTTGTTCAGGACAAGGAGATGAGCTAAGGGTTGTTGACCAAGATGCTTTCCCTCAGAGCAGGGAGCCTGCACTTTTATGACCAGGCTGCTTCCTCCTGCCAGTCTAGCAGTGTTCTGCAAGACAGGGATTATCAGAGCCACTGTTTTCAGTGCCCCTCCCTTTAGCAGAGAATGCAGCCTGGACTTAAAGTTTTAGGCTCATCTCACCTGGGGCCTGGCTTCCTACTTTCCTACACAGGACATCTTAATTCGTTCCCTTATCCTTTTCTTATTGATCCATCTTCTGTGATTGGTGTCTCACTCATAATAGATCAGAAACAGAAATTAATTTTCATCCCTACTGAGTTGCGTATGTGTGAAGTATGCACAATGTTCAATCTTTCTCATAATTAGATATGAATTGCAATCATCCTGAAGTATAATTTTTTTTTAATCTACCAAATGAGAAAAAATGGAAAAGTACGGTACATCCACACAATGAAGAGCGATGTGACTGTGATGGCCAGTCCTGATTGCTACCTCGACGCATCTGGGAAGAGGGGCGCTCAGCTGAGGGATTTTCTACATCATGTTGGGCTGCGGGAATGTCTGAGGGGAAGTTTCTTGATTGCTAATTGATGTAGGAGGGCGCAGACCCCTGTGGGTGGCACCACTCCTGTGTGGGTGGGTGGGACTGGGATGAAAGGCAGCTGTGTGTGACTCGGAGCCATCAAGTGAGCAGCACTCCTTGGCAATCTCTGCTTTATTTCCTGACTCTAGGTTCCTGCTTGACCTTGAGCCTTGGCGTCCCTCGGGGATGGACTGCAGCCTATAAGGCAAATAATCCCTTCCCTCCACAAGTTGCTTTGTCATAGTGTTTTATTACAGCAAGTGAAAAGTAGCTCAAACAATGTCTACAAAAAGGAGCGTCAACAATCTCTATGAACTGATCTGAAAGATTTCTATATTGACACTGTTAAGTGAAAAACATAAACTGCGAAGCTATTTTTATACTTTCATAGTCCACTATTGTTTATGTAAAACTGAAGATTATACATGAAAACACATTGATCTGCTATCTGTTGTCAGTTACATAAAGAGTAATTTACAAGCTAAAGAGATTACTTATCTACCCAATGAATACGTGTTAAGAGAAAGAGGAGGAAAACAGCTTCTTTTGGAAATAAGATCCTGTGGCTTTAGTTCTGAGATCCAAGGCACAGGTTTCATAGACTCCAAAATGCTAACAGATAACTCAATCATTAGGATGTGAAGGAAACAAAATGGGATACATGAAACAATGACCACATCCAACTGGAGCACAAAGGAACAAATAACTGCTGGAGGAGCCAAGGAAGAGGAGAACCAATCCAAGTCACTGCAGAAATCTCACTTTGTCTAAATAAAGAAGTGAAGAAGTGTGCATTAGCCAGTGTCTCTGACTTCTACATGGACAGGAGCAAGCAGTCCAATCAAGATTATTCAAACAAACCAATACTAGTAATGAAAGTGGGTTCTTACTGTCAAAGTTAGTGTTCATATATTAACGCTAGGGTTAAAAAATACTGTGAACACAATGTTTCAGACAGACAGATGACCATAGACCAAGCTAAATATGACATGTAAGAATTCATCAATCAAAATACAGACATACATATCACTTCATGGATATGTCGGTAGCAATAAAAAGAGTTTGTCCTAGATTTCAGATCCACTAGTGAAATTTAAGATAATTCTAGACCTAAACAAAGGGATTTTATTTTTTTTAAAAAAGCAGTTCACAGGGTACAAGCAGAAAAAAATGAAAATAAGCTTATAATGTAAAAGAAATACTGAAAGAATATAGAAGAATGTGTCAAAAGAACGTAAGAACTAAAGAGAAAAAAAAGACTACGGTGAAAACTGAAAATAATAATAAAAATATAGTTAGAATCTTGGACCCTTAAACAAAATGTGAACTTAATACCCATGACTCAATACTGAAGTTAGTACTCGTTGAATAATTAATTAGGGACAAGGGATAAATTTCCTCATAGAGTATTTTGGGTAAATACACAAAGAATGCAAACACTCAAAATTCTATCAAGTAAATTCAGCAGTTTGTTAAAAAAAATAAGTATGTAATGGTTTGGGAATAAATAGGGTTTGAGCAGTCTCAAAGGATTTCCCATAATTTTTTCAATTAAAAAAGAAAATGAGAGACATTTCAGTGAGGAGGAACAGCAGATGGCAATGTAGTGATGTGGATGACAGCTTTCCTCGACACTCCGTTCTCGGTAGTCAAACAGTTGAAACATCCAAGCAGCCAGCCATCTTTTTTTTTTTTTTTTTTTCAATTAAAAAAGAAAATGAGAGACATTTCAGTGAGGAGGAACAGCAGATGGCAATGTAGTGATGTGGATGACAGCTTTCCTCGACACTCCGTTCTCGGTAGTCAAACAGTTGAAACATCCAAGCAGCCAGCCATGAAAATTATCTGTAAAGTATAGTATATTCCTTAATAAAAAACATTTCAGTTGTGAAAGGAAACAAATTATTGAATGAAGCAGCCTCATGGTAAGTTTCAATTCTTAGCTTTGAGTGACAGAGCAGGTGTGCAAACAACGGGCATCCTAATTCTACTTTATGCAGTTTCCACCAGCAAGGAAACAGTGACTACATGTGACTTACGTTTGCAGTGGCAGGTGTGGCTGGCCAAGAGGAGGAGATGCGTTATAAATTTCTGAGAATATTGTTATGACACAAGCATTCTATGTTTGGATTTTGCTGACATACAAAAATAGACGTTCTCCTAAAACACAACAAAATATGACCTCCACTGGATAATTTTTTTAAAACAACATTCAGCTGGAAAGCAGTATTTAAGAGGTGGTGTTCATTGACACCAAGTTATCAGAAACAGCTAAAACGATTTTTTTTTATCCTAAGAAAGGCAGGAGACAAAGTGTTCAGGGATTACATGTGGGGGCTGTACAGGATTTCAATTCTTCACTTGAATCAAATCAGAGCTCCTGTGTCAGGCCTGAGAATGTGAGAAAATCTGAGCTATGCAAACTGGGAGATGCAGTTGCTTATTCTCTGCAACTTGCAGAAGTGACTGTGGAGTGTTCTGCTAAAAATGAGACATCGATATATCCCCCAACTCAAGGAGCAGGAAATATTTCAGAAGAGGGGACAGAGACTGCAGAAACCAGAGGTCAGGGAGGACTGGAGTGAAGCAGCAGCTTCCATACTTGACAGGACCACGTACGTACTCATGAACTTAGAGCCACTGTGGCCTGCACAAAAGCCATACAGACCAGTCAGCATTCCTACATGGACAGGGATGGCATGGAGGGGTGCACCAGGCCCCACTCCCAGCTGAGGCTACTGTCAGTGGGTGACTGCTGAGGAAAAAGGAGTTTCTCAGGAGGGGGTGACCCTACACCCCTCCACCCCTACACCCCTCATGTACAGACAGCTCTAATTAAACTCAGTAGTGGAATGGGGCTGTAAGAAGAAGTTAGGAGGGTCTGATCAAAATATTTTGTACACATGTATGAAATTCTCAAACATTTTAAGAAACCTAAGGATGGGATTGGAGCCTCTAGCCACGTGGGCACATGGGGCTTGCAGGAAGGTGAGCAAGAACTTACCCATGTGCTGTGTGGTGCACCCCAGTGCCACAGGGACAGATGTCCCTGCGCTCAGGACTTTTCCAGAAGTTATGCTATGCATCTCTTCATCTGCTCCTTTTAAGATATCCTTTAGTTTATGCTAATGGACTAGAATAATAAAAAATAGCAAAGGATCAGTACGTCAGTCCAAAATGCAATTTCTTGAAGTAATAAGTAGAAAGATTGATTGCATTTTACATACATTATCTCAAGCTTCATTTTCTCTATATACTAAAGCAACAAATGTTTTGGATGGTCAGCTTTGTTCTCATTATACCAAGACAGAGTACATGTTTCTTTAATCTTCTGGAAACTGCACACAATGCTGATCTTCTTAAACCAAAACACCTTGTTATAACTTATCAGCAAGTTATAAAATTATTTATCTTTGGAATCAATAAATTTAAATATGCATGTATTCATATAAATATATCACATGAACATTGAAAACAACAATGACAACTTTTTTATTTATTTTTTATATGTGTGAGTGTTATGTCTGCATGTGTTTAAGTGCACCTGTGTTATGCAGTGCCTGAGGAAGACAGAAGAGGAAGTCAGATCCCCTGGAACTGGAGTTATGGACAGTCATTAGTCATCATGTGGGTGCTGGGATTCGAACCTGGGTCTTCTACAAGAATAGCCAGTGCTCTAAACTGCTGCGCCACCTCTCCAGTCCAACAATGACAACTCTTATCTGTGGTTTTATGCATCCTTCTCTGAAGCTAGCAGACAGGCAAAACCATCAAACCACATGCCAGAGATGCCCATCTATTATTTCAATGCAAAAATGTCCCAAAACTAATTCACATAATTATTCACTCAGCAGGGATCCTCATACTTCAGAGAAATATTCATTCATAAAATTAGATGTCATGACTGGGTGTAGTGTTGTTCGCTATAGTGGCCTATGCATCCAAAGCAGTAAGTTTGTAGTTATAAATGTAGTAAGGACTATGGCTACACTCTTAAACCATTCTCTCCCTCTAAAAATTTCTCGGTCATCTTCAGTTCTTTTCATTTACCCCTTTTTGACCAATCATCATTCAATAAATAACAATGATTTTATTTTGTGGTAAACAGCCTACTATGCGTACTTTTTTTTGCTAAGAATATACCTTACCAATCAGCCATGGCAGGATGCTTATGGAATTATTCACATAGAACTAGTTATTCTCTAAGAGGAAAATGATTAAATGACGTCCAAATCGTACTGGGAAATCATGTGGTTGTAACGGCTGAACTGCATAGGTAGAAAACTGAGTTTAAGAGACATTCAGGGGTTGGCCCAATTCGTTATTCATACAAATTAACCATTTGATCTTGAAAGTCATCTTTACTAATCATTCTAGTCATTATATTCAATTTCTAGTAGTTAAAATATAGAAAATCTTCATGAACATACTGCTTTTATGCTTAGAATGTCTTATTATGAGAGTTTCCTGAATGGACCATCTTTTGAATATCATAAAATTCATCAATATAAAGGACTGTAATTGTCACCTGGGATAGAATTTCAAGAGCTTACGAGTTGGTTTATATGAGAAATATTTGTAGGATAACTGGAATGCTCTGTAGTGTTAAATATGAGAAATTCAAAATATACTGTGTTTGTTTTCAAATTCAAATGTGATTGTATTTGAAGCATTAAGAATTGTCATTTTGTTGGCTACAGTAACATTAAAATTTAATAAATATGCACCAGAACAACAATATTTTTAGGAGACAGTCAGAACTTCAGATAGGATGTCAAGTGACACTTAACAGGAAGGCATAAGAGTATCAAGAAATAATTAGTAGTCTAATATTCACAAACTCTCACACTTTGGTACAAGCTTATGTTTTTTTCTTTCCAAGTTTTGTATTTAGTGTCAGGAAGGAGGAGTAGCTTAGTAACTGAAAATTATTCTCTCCCAAATGAACAGTGGTAAATATTTCTTATCACAATGGAAGATACATAAAAGAGTTCTTTCCTAAGAAATTATGTATTTGAAGTTTTCGTTTTTAAAACTGTTGATCATCCAAATTATAACGGTAGATACAAAGTTGACATTTCAGGCAAAACATTACTATATAATTTGGGTGCAATGATTTTCTTGCATGGGTTCTAGTTTGAAAGAATTAGAGTATTATTAAATTGAAAACCCATCGTCAGTAGTAAGATTTGCTCACTAAATGAACTCACAAATATATGTCTGTACTTGTTCCATGAGTCCACAGAAACTGCTATCCTAAAAGCATCTCTTGTAGACACTTCTTTATGTTCATAAAGTTGCGATGTGTTGATGTGTTACTTGCAAAAATTGTGCAAGATTTCTCTTTTGTATGTTTTCTCTTCTGCATTTGAAGAAGATTTGAACTGTAGATGAAACCATGCCAGTACGTGTTAGATTGTTGGGTTTCACAATGATGGCACTGTAACTCAGAGGACCAGTGGAGCTCTGGTTTTTTGATGAGAGAACAGCCACTGTCTCCATTAGGCATATCTTCAGGCTACGTACAGACACTGGTTTTTACCTTCAAGTTTTGCAGTGGCAAATGGAGGAACTGGACTGGGTGCTAATGTAGGCCAAGAATGGAAATTTTTCTCTGTGGTGAATAATGCAGACCAAGGATGGAGGCTTTTTCTATGGTGATGATGGAGACCTCGAATGGAGACTTTCCTCTGTGCAGTTTTGAGGAGAGTTATCTTGCGGCACTCCTCTGCCAATACACTCCCAAATTCAAAACGGAATTGGCTTTTATGGTAATTCTAATTAAATGACTGAATCTTGTGATTCAATTTTTCTCTGTGGTGAATAATGCAGACCAAGGATGGAGGCTTTTTCTATGGTGATGATGGAGACCTCGAATGGAGACTTTCCTCTGTGCAGTTTTGAGGAGAGTTATCTTGCGGCACTCCTCTGCCAATACACTCCCAAATTCAAAACGGAATTGGCTTTTATGGTAATTCTAATTAAATGACTGAATCTTGTGATTCGAGAACCTAAGAAGGCACCCCCAAGGGATCGATGGAGACCTCGAATGGAGACTTTCCTCTGTGCAGTTTTGAGGAGAGTTATCTTGCGGCACTCCTCTGCCAATACACTCCCAAATTCAAAACGGAATTGGCTTTTATGGTAATTCTAATTAAATGACTGAATCTTGTGATTCGAGAACCTAAGAAGGCACCCTTCCAAGGGATCTCCATGTTCAACCCTTGTTTGTTCTTTAAAATAATTTCATGCTATTCACCTTTAGAATTGTATTCCTTGCTTCTTGAATCTTGAATTACTGTCCTTGAAGAGTCACTATGCACTGATTTTCTCCTGTATGTAAGCCACTTCTGTGGCATTTCTAAGACAAAAGGTTTCTTTGTTTTCCATATACAATAATACTTATTTAAAATACCTTTAGACTGTATCTTATCTGAGCAACATTTTAAATTAACATTACTATTTTTCCTCAGAAATTGAAATGGACATTATTTGAATATTTTCAGATCAATACAATAGTAGCAGAAAGTTTTTCTTTAATCTTGGGAAACAGTTGGTCTTATTCTCTTCAGAAGTAAACCATTACAATTTGTGAGGTTAAAGAGATGCTGCAAGAAAGAGGTTACAGTCAATGGTTGTATTTCAATATATTTCAAGCATAAACATTATTATGTGGTTTGGGGAGGGGAAATTGGTGGGGAAAAATGAGAGGGATTGGAGGGTTGATTAAAACATTATACACATGTACAATATTCTCAAACACTAATTTTTTTAATTTGTTATTTTTAATTTATGTGTATGAGTATGTTGCCTGCATTATGTTAAGTGCACCCATGTCGTGCAATATCCGTAGAGGTCAGAAGTCAGCATCGTGTTACCCTGGAGTTATGGATGGTTGTTAGCTGCCATGTTGGTGCTGGGAATTGTGCCTGGGCCCTCTGCAAGAGCATCCAGTGCTCTTAACTGCTGAGTCATCTTTCCAGCCCCCTTAACTTTTTTTAAGAACATGAAAGAGGACTTTATTAATAGTGTGTTTATCTCCTTCCCTAAAATAGTGACTTTTTGGAATGAACACAGAAGAAAGGGTTAGCCTGACTCTGGATGAAATCAATGTAAAAATCAAGTCTAGGCCTGCTAGAAGACAGTTACTACCCCTGGTCTCATTTCCATGGGCAACACCAGAGAAAAGCACAGCTTCAGCCTCCTTCCCTTTCTCCTATGCTGGAAACCCTGAAATCCCCTAGGTTTTAACATTTTTAAATGGATTGTAGTTAATGCATTGACATACTATTGGTAAAGACTTATTCCAGTGATATGAGCTATAAATATTATTTTCTGGTAATATTACCTTTTAACATCTTCGAAGTGCCTTGAGGTAAAATATCTAACTTTATTATATCAATCCTTTTCTATTTTAATTTTAATTTTATTTTATTGATTTTTTTGTGTGTATTTCATACAGAACATCTCAAACAACCTTAATGATTTTATACCTCCATTCCCCACTGGCACTCTCCCATAATCCCTCTCTTCCCACTGGAGCCCATATACTCTGTCATCCTTGTTACTGCTCACTGTGTTGCCAGTGACGTCAGCTGTTCCCCGGTGCATGTCTATCCGCTGAGTCTAGTCAGCCTATCTAGCGTCCCTTGTTTTAGGAAGATCAGCTCTTCTTCATCTAGCAGCAATCAGTTACTAACGTTCCTTTAAATAAGATTGGGGTCTGCTGTTCATTTTCCCAGATCTGTGCTGAGTTACTGTCTGCCTGAGGTTGCATGGAACTTGGCATATGCAGACACGTATGCTATAGACTCATATGAGCAGGTTCTCAGGAGCTTATAGGACTCTGTTTCCATACAGTCATGCACCTCCTCCCTCACTCTTACACTATTTCTGCCCCATCTTCCTCAATAGTCTCTGAGCCTCGGGTGGGTGAAGTTTAATAAAGGGGTCCTGTCTGAGGACCACCATTTAGCAGACCCTTGATCTCTACACTTTGGCCATTTGTGACATTTTGTGTTCCTGGTCCTCGGCTGCATGAGGGAGCTTCATGACTGAGAACTGATCCTTAGTGTCCTCTTCTTTATCCCTGTTCTGTGTTCCATGAGCTGTAGGTGAAGAGGTTGCATTGCA